GCGGACTTCTCTCGCGCTCGCGGTGTCGGCTGGACTTGCTATCACGGCCATCTCGTCGGCTGGCACAACCTTCGTTGCGCTCATCTTGAGAGCCTACTATCCCGATCGATAATAATGGGAAGATCGAGCAGACAAGTGCACTAGAATTCATGGCGCCCGAGGTCTTGAAAGGCGGGTTTGATAAGGCGACACACGACCTGGAGGGAAGTCTCCGGCGGTCAATCCAGTAAGCGCGTGGTACACAGGTAATAACCGGGTGGACGAGTGGAAGAGAATTACACTGCGCTACCTGCCAGTGTCGCATAATGAATCCACGTAGCATTTAATCTATATTCGTGGTAGCACCGAGTCCAGACAAAACGATTATCACGCGTCCATAATGTAGCACTGCAGCAATGTAAGGATAAACCTGTCTTAGGGGTAACACATTCGTGCGCGGAGTCGGCACAACACCCGGAGTACCTGTAAGAAGTGATGCACCCAACGGACATAGTTCTATCGGCGACCTGTAAGTATTGGTGCCCCCTCTCTCGATCCGAAAAGAAAGAAAAGTCGGAGAATCGTTTCAAAGCTAGAACGCCTCCAACCGCAGCAAGAATGTGCGAGCACAACGGGACCACGGCGCAATCGTCGATTTGTACATGTGTACCCACCCCCGGCTCGTATTTCTTTTTTCGAGAAAAAGACACGACCAACCGGGGTTCGCAGAACCCACCGATCACCGATGTGTCTGTGGGCATAGGATGCATCTAGTTAACGAAGAGAATGCCAGCCATAGCCATGAAAACATAGGTCTCCTCTTCAAATCTTTGCCCTTCAACCAGTGTCCTCCTAAGTGCTCCCGACTTGAACTGTACATATGCACTTCAACGGTACTATATATATATATAAAATAAAGATAGCGACGACTATATAGCTAATACTGTATATTTATTACTCGTTAACTTCTTCCTAGTTATCTAGGGGTTAAGTACTCATGTTCTAGTTATATTTCTCCATAGTAGGCACTTCCATGGCCTATTTTCGAGCCTATGATAATGACGCGCTGAGGCCGCTAATAATCTAAATTTCGTTCCGAAAGTCACGAATGGTAGATTAGACCTTCTCCTCCTTATTTTAGTACGTGTAAGGGACTTTAGGCATGGTGGTATTATTATATTTAAATATATTATCTATATAGTACCGTTGAAGTGCATATGTACATAGGTTACAACTTCGAAGTGCGTGGGACTGAGATTTTGTACTCCTGAATTGCCAAGGACTCGATTCTCCGACAGCCGTGAGCAATAACTTGAGGTCAGACCCAACAGGCACGATGCATTCAGTGTTGCCAAGCATGCTTGATTGTCCTCCGGTTGAAATCGTGATGAGTGTTTGAATTGAGGACGTGCGCGCCTCGAAGAAAGAACGTGATCAGTGAAATCAAAAGTGGCTAGCGCGTCGACCACTGGTCGACGCGCTAGCCACATCCACCCATGCGAGTCTAGATTTCTTAGGCCCCAGCGCCAAATGCTATTTGAGCGTTGCTCTGTTGTGGGAACTGTCGAATCCAGGCAAGTTGTGGTGAATCGTGCATAAATGTCGAGTTATAATTGCTTGACGACGAGGAAGTGGGAAAGGGAGTAAAAACGGGGCGAGGATTATGTTATTTACAAGCGAGATCTAGTAGCCTTGCAATTGTAGCGAGCTTTGGTGGCTTTATCGTTGGTTGTAGTCTTCTTCGACCCGTTCCTGCGAACGTTTTTTCTTCGTCGTACCTGACACATGTATCCGTTTGCTTCACATCTCCTGATGAGAGGTGAGCCCCTGAGTTAGCTAAATTTATGGTAACAATACTGACAGGATCTTTGTTACATCTGAATTAACGTACTGTCTTGGGTAGAGGTCGGACCTGGATTGAGCTTTGGTGATGCTTGCTTGCATCGAGAAAGATTCCCTGCAAGCAAGAAAACGGATGACGACGATAGCAACAACGTAAATCACCGACGAGGATATATATTTTAGCATACTGGAGCGAGGTAGATAAAAGGCAACCGCGAGGCGAGCAAGTAGCGATAACTGACATCCCCCGCTCCAGCTTGCGGCACACGCATCTCGGTCGAGCATGTCGAAGGCTTCAAAGGCTATCTAGGCAGCCCCACGTATGGCCAATCTTTATTGGCCATGTACTCGCCTGATCCTTAGGCACGTCAAGCCATTGAAATCCCCAGACGAGATCATGATGATACCCAGCTAGTTGGCTGGAATTCCAATTCGTTGTGCAGGGATGTGATTTCGAAGCAATCCAACGAGTCCAGCATGGATATTAGGTTGGGAGGCAGGTCTCGAGCGGGAGGACTTACTTTTGATCCCGTAATTATACGACGATCAGAGTAGCCCGCTCGAGCAATGCATGAATGAAGCTACCAGTGCCGCTTTGTCGCACACCAGCCGCCAGTCTGCGAGTCTATCAAGGGTCAAGACTAATGGATGTACCGGCGAGATACTTGGGAAAGAAACAGTTAGATGCACTTACTGGGCAAAGCCGCTCTTGGCAGTTACCCCGGGCTAGTGTGTCTGTACTAGTGCAGGATCATATCGCACTACACCATCCATATATAGCTTTGATAATTCTTTTCGACCCTCATGTTGTTGCTCTACTGGAAAGTCTCGGATTTTGGCTATTTCCTCGGTTTTTGACCCAAAACCACGTATGAGTGACCATATGGACGTGTCATTCTGAGGTATAATTTAGATACACTCATCTCTCGGCTTCTCTATCTCCTTCCTAATCGGTTAATTATCAAGTTTGAGCCATAAGAGAGTACCGAGTCGCAGATGTGGTAAGGCTTGTCGACAGTGCAAAGGCCAGTCTACTTTGGGGCAGGACTTCAATATGAAGCCTAGGCAAGTCCACTTCTGAAAGTCTTCGCTGGAAAGCGCAGGTGGAAGCCGATGTGGTTTCATGATCAGCCAGCGACTAGTCACAAACGGTAGGGGCGTCTTTTAAGTCCCGCTTGTGATTATTTGCACCTGTCTAGCGAGGCTGACTTTGTGTTATAAAATCAGGCAGTTCTACTATCTTTGAGAAGCTCTTGTACCACCCAGGAGCTTATCGCCACCTTCTAGACAACACTTGTACCTACTTACATCCTAAAACATGACTACAGAGGCACGAATTCTTGAAGCAGCACGCCGTCTCAATGAGGTGACGTT